TATACTAATTTTTTTAAAAATCGAATCACTAGTTTTGAGGATTAACTAAATAGTCTCCCATTAATTTTTGGTAGATCTTTTATGCCTATATATATTTTATAAGAGTTCAAGAAATTAGAAATATAATGATTTCCACTGACACCATGAATCTGTGTATGTCAGACCATCATTGACAACCTGAACGGATTGGACGGTCGTTTCATTTTAGTATGGAACTCCTCAACAGTGCACATCCATGACGACCCATGCAGGAATAGAATTCAAGACCTTTGGTCTGGCGTGCGAATACTTAATATATAGACAAGTGAACCACGTTCTATTGGTGTAAAAGTTTGACTTCAATCAATACGCACGATGTTAAAGAATCCCATACTAGAACGAAATGACCAGTCAATGCTTCCAGGTTTATCAATGGTTGTATAACATTCAATGAAATTTAATAATCTCTACAATCTCATACTAGAAAAGATATAGTGATTCCAAGGTTTCTAACATTATCATAATTTCGACATTTTTTTTTTCTAGTTGATAAATATGGCCAGTAATGTCATTAACATTATCATCATTAATCAGCAATAAATATGCTAGATGAGATGCATATGGATATGTAGATAATTAACAAAAGCCAAACATACATACAAACACACACACACATATTAAGACTTACATAAAAATATTACCATTTAATTTTGGCTCTTATTATTAATCTATTGCGATCTGTTTCCTCTTTCTTCCTTTCTCTCCCTCTCTTCGTTCATTTATCTATTTATCTATATATATCTTTATTTTATGGGTCTATTTTTATCTGTTTACATTGGAGTTGGAAAGAGAGCGAGATATATGGCAGCCTGTATTGTGTTTTTTTTTTAATATATATATTTTTTATTTGCACATGTCTAAAACGACTCCGTTACACAATGATTTAGTCATGTATATTATATGTGTAGAAAGAGAAATAGGGATAGAGTAGAATAGATAGATAGATAGGATAGATAGGATAGATAGATAGGTTTCTTTTTAATTTCTTTTTTCTTCTGTTTAAATTATGGCTTGATATCTATTTTGATAGTGTAGTTGAATTATAATACAGCTCATAAAGTATAATTACTGTTGATCTGATATTTCCTTTCTCTCTCTTATATATTAGGCGTTCTATTGTCAATATGATGAATGAGTACTATGCATAGTATTACCATTATTATTATTATTATTATTATTATTATTATTATTATTAGTAGTAGTAGTAGTAGTAGTAGTAGTAGTAGTAGTAGTAGTAGTATTAATTGTACTACAACTAAGGTTATTAATTGATTATTATTTACGTATGATAATTAATGTTTTAATGCCAATGAGAATCAATTACTTTGGATAACAGAGAAAAATCAACCAAGCAAATAGGTAGAAGAGATATCATCTAACTTTGTATTATTGTCATTATCGTTTATAATAATACTAATAATATTAAGGATACATATAATGTATAGTATAGTATAGTATAGTACAGTTACCATGTTTGTTTTCGTTTTTTTTTTTTTTTTTTTAATTAATGAATACCTATCATTTAATATATTGTTTACATTGGTTTATGAGCGCATCTATTTTGTTAGTTGATATTAGTTTTTTTTTTCTTTTTTGTTGTTGTTAATGTTGATTGTTTGTTTATTTATTTATTTATTTTTAATTCAACAATAATGGATTACATTCATTAACTCTCTTTGCCCATCCCTTTTCAAGCTTTCCTTGTTGCTTCTACTCTCTTGATCTTTCTCATATCTATGTTATGTTATATTATACTTGGTTATTATTATTATTATTATTATTCGTCACTTTGATGTTAGAAAGGGAGAAAACTACTCTATATTTCTTTCAGTTCTATATTTGGTTATTTTCCCTGTATTAGTATTTCTATCCTAATGGTTATGCTATTGTTATACCATCGTTAAGATTACTATTATTATTATTAGTAGTAGCAGTAGTGGTAGTATTCAGTAAAACAACATTGAATCCAACATGTACAAATGACAACAATAGTAATCAGGTAAATAGAACTAGTGAACCTACCGAGAAAAGAAAGAAAGAAGGCGAAAAATAAAAACAAGTGAGCGATCGAGGACATGAGTGAGTGAGCAAGCTTATGCGCGTACAAGAGAGAGAGAGAGAGAGTGACAGAATAAAAAATAAATACATAAACAAATAATTTAGTAAATAAAAATATAAACAGATATGAGTCAGTTTGTTTTATCAAGTGCATAGTGATAATTTTATCAAATACAATATCATTCCCCTATATTCCCCTTTTATATTATAGTCCATCTGTATAAGTACTATTATTGTTGTTATTATAATTAATCATGATGTATTACCACTGATGGTATTACACATGTGTATACGCTCAATGAACATTTTACAATTATATTTAATCCATGAGTATATATATATGTATATACAGTTATACAGTGAATATACTGATGGATATATTAGGGATAAAATTAAATTACATTATGATATTTTGTCGTTTCTACCTTATTTTATATTGCCATTAATTCTATACATACCCTCCCCTAACCCCCTCCTCCCCCCCAAAAGAAGATTAACAATCAGATTATTATACATTTTAACCAGTTTTGTTTTTCTTCTTAATTTTATGAAACTCTTCTGACGGTGATGTGGATGTCGATGTTCAGTAGTAGTAGTATTAGTAGTAGTAGTAGTAGTATAGATAGAAAGGTAGATAATGGATATTTATCTTATTAGTAATTGATCGTTTCTGATAATTATTTTTGAATGATGGTAATTGTTATTTTCAGTAAACTATACATGATAAATCTCACACATACATGCATATACACACACACAGATAATGCTGGCTTCTTGTTTTCGGTTGTTTTTTTTTTTTTGGAAAAAAAATATATGTGTATATATTCATCACAATCTGAGAGGCATAATTTATGGATAACTAGATTCTCTTGTCTCTATTTTTTGTATCATACATCAGGTTAACGTAATTAATTACCTACAGGTTAAATGATATACATAGAATTCATTTGTTGATTTGTTTTTCTGTACAAAATAATGTACGATTAAAAGAGGAATTGAGAGTGAACTATAAAGATGCCCTGGTACGGCCGAGGGTGGATAGAGTCAACTCTGTCTCGCTCTCTTGAAATGCTCTCACATGACCACGTGCCTATAAACACTGTCAGGGAAGTCCTACTCACTGATTTCTCTCGGCATTATTGTTGTTTACGAAATTGAGAGGACGAAATGCGAATATCCGCCTCTTTAACCGGGTTGGTGGAAACAGAGGATCCACCTAGGGGAGTTGGAAAACCCTGATTACAAACCAATGATGCACATGGACTCCAGTATCCTAAGGGAACAAATGGCGTATGAACCTATCGTTGGTCACTGGCTATCATGGGACTACGTCTCCTTACATTACTCCACTGCTTTGTGGATTAGACTTTTAGCTCAAAAACTCTGGGTGTGGCCTCCTAAGTAAACCATCTGTTTAGGTTCGGGCACTCGAGCAGTATCCCAGCCTTCACATAAATCGAATGATTTATGTGGCGCATATCTATTTGGTGCTTCGTTGTACCTATGTTTATGTGTTTAAATAAATAACAAATAAGAATGATAATTAACCTTTTTGTGACTTTTTTTTCTTCAAAATGTACATCATGATTACGATGAGTGCTTTTTTTAAAGAATCTTTTTTCATTTTTTTAATGAAAATTATCGTTTAAATTATGCAGAATCTTTGCATACAGTCAAGCTGTTTTGCTAACAAGACTTCTTCTTCTCTGTGAAATGGACCAAGTTGGTTGTGTTATTGATTCACTGATATTATGTTGGGGTTAAGATCTCCCTGTATCACAAAGTGATCGAAGTGGGGAATTTGAACTGTTACATTTTAATTCGGTGGCTTAATAGTATTATGTTCATATTATGACTGTAAACTTTATATAACGAACTGATCCTTGTTAAATAGTGATTGAAAATCAGGAAATATTGAACCACTGAACAATTCCCAGAGTTCTAGTGAAAAGTCTTGATCATTTGGTCTCAATCTTATCGTGTATGAGAGATAATTATCCATCAATAGGATTGAAAGATATCGTTAATCGATCTAATTCAGAAATATAAATCACAGGATTATAACTTCAGTGATCAAACGGTTACTCATTCTCTATGAGACCTGGGTTCGAAATGAAATGGCTGTTACCAGTACTATTGTCATGAGCTTGATTTTTTTATACCTAACTCTATTTGTTCAGTAGTGTTTTTGACTTCATCAATATTTGTGTCGTTCACCGACCAGATTTGAAAATTTGCTTCGTTTGCAGTTCATATTTAAATTCTACTTGTAGAATAATTATGTATTTATAGTATAGAGGGTTTGTAGAAATTTCTGACTTTGGTAGTTTACATCATGGACACTGATTTTGGTTAAGTAACCATTTAAAATCATAAAACCCCGGACATTTGTATCCTCTCAACATGAAATTACTCAGCAGTGCGTTCCCATCAGTTCACAGTGTATTGAGCCTAGAGCATGTAAGTTTCTCGACTAGCGCCTAACCATTAGATCAGTATGGTAGTTAATCATAAATGTGTGTGTTCACTTTATTTAACTGACGTAAAACTGATGCTTATTAGGTTTTCAACCAAAAGGCTCCGTATTCAAGCTGGACTCTGTTTAGTTCCGTTTTGACAGTTCGATATTATTATTATTATTATTATTATTATTATTATTATTAGTAGTAGTAGTAGTAGTAGTAGTAGTGGTAGTGGTGGTGGTGGCGATACTCACTTTAACACAAACAATGTGACTTGAAACCAGGTTATATAACCGTCGCCTAATTCATGCTAATAAACGAACAAGAAGTACCACAAGTTAGAACTGCTGTGCTATTTGAAATTTAAATTCCTGATTTTCTCTCATTGTTTTTCTTTTTCTTTAATTCATCATTTATTGTTATTTTTTTAATTGATTACAGACTAATCAGTTCCCATCATGTGTTCCTAATCCGTTTGGATTTATACCATTTTATGATTCATTCAGATGTGGTGCAGCGGCTGCTGCTGCGGCAGCGGCGGCGGCTGCCGCAGCAGCAGCTTTTTCTCAAAAATCTCCACATGAAACAACAGTTCACCATGACGGTGACATTTTAAAGTTTGGTTCAAAATATCCAACAAACAATCGAAATCATAATACGATGGGTAATTTTGATTTAAGTTTAGAAAATTGTAAAAATTATATGAATTCAATTGATATCAGGAATGATAATGCTTGTACTACCAATATACCTGATGTTTCTACTACTTCTGTTAATACCGTTACTTGTATAAATGAGAATAAATCCAATAAATTATCATTATCATCATCACTATACACAAATGCTTATCAGACACATCCTTCATCATCATATAATCAACAATGTATTCGTCACTCGAAAGATTTATCCTCTAATAATATGAATATGTTGCATTATTCACGTGACATAGAATCAACAGTTGGACTTTCAGTACGAGAGCATAGTCAGTCACCATTGCTAACATCTCGTAAGTGTGTTTATTACTCTTATTATCATTATGACCATTTTCAAGTAACTCGGTATTGATATTCTTAACATGATGGGGTTGCGTGGGCGAGTTAGGTAATAATGGTTAATTTACTTGACTTTTAACTACTAAGTCGTAAGCTGTCAAATGCTCGCTTTATCAGTCTATCATAATCAACATAGAGCATGACACATATGTGAACTGATCCATGTTGCCACATTATATTAGCAGAATGAGATGGAAATCAGAAGATAGATGGGGAATGTGACTGAAATAATTTAGTTGTAATGATAACGAAAGGGACTCGATATTGAGAATATGGTATGAAGAAATATTTGGATTCAATACCTAGAGGAAGATAAAAAGTGAATACATCTGAGTCATTGTAACTAATTCTTAACCATGTCAGTTAACATCTCCAATCACTGATTGTGGTCATCACACGAACACCGTTCAAGTAGTACCGAGCTTCTTCTGTAGTTCGGCCGAACAGTCAGTAAATTCATGAAATACTTCATTTACTTCTTAATTTCGAACAACTAAATAGTATAAGAATAGTTTAAATACCACACAATGGCTCAAAGCCTATTGTATAAAGGGGTACTTTCTTGCTAAGTCGTTTAACTGCGCTTCAAAACTATCTATTAATACCTGAAATTTTATAATAGTATTCTCTGAGTACTGGTGTTAGCGGGATATAGATTGGATTATGGCATGTTCCGTGCGAGACTGTTAGGGTAAGCTAAATGACTATTTCTTAACCAATCCGCGCTAGCGGATGCTTGGAGAATATTCTAGAATCTTCTTATGTAAAAATTATAAATATACTAACGTTTTTCTTATTGTGATTCCTACTTTCATCCACTCTTATTATTTGAATTATAAATACATTCTTGTACAACCGTGTTCTGATTTGGTGACTTATCGAGTGAAGTAGTGTCCAAGATTATTAATCAATAAGAGTAGATGGGTCGTAATAAGAGAAATTATAACACAAGTATATTGACCAACTTGTTTAACTAACACTAAATGTCATAATTTACACATGAAATTTACAGTTGATGCTTAGGGTTTCTATCACTAGCTGACACCAACTAAGATGCCAAAATTCTATTTAACCAAATGAATAAGTGAATTTTGCGCCAAAATCCAAGACCTATTATCTTATATCTGATTGACTTGTCCATAAATTATAGTCTCGTCGTTATTATCTTATCTTAGTATTCACGATTAAATTCCATTTCCTACAAATGATTGACTGATTGATGTATATAAATCAAGATTTGATTTGACTGAACACTCAAAAATTATTTATCATTATTGTGAATTTTTTTTCTTTCATCCTTGTTTTTGTAGTAATTTTGTTTGTAATTTAATAATTGAATTCATGAGTCAATTGAAGCTAGACGACCATGGAAAATCGGGAAGCACTGTACGACCATTTCATCCTAGTATGGAACTCTTCAGCAATGCGCATCCACGATCCCGTCCCGCGAGATTCCAATCCAGGACCTATCAGTCTCGCTTGAAGATGCTTAACCTTTAGACGGTGGCGCAATTTCGTGGATTGATTAAAGTTAAACATTAACACCTTTGGATACCGGCATAGTGGTCTAAAGGTTAAGCGGGACGGAATCGTGCATGTACATTGCTGAGGAGTCCCATATTAAGATGAAACGGCCGTACAGTGTTTCCAGGTTTTCCATGGTGGTCTAATGAATTCAATTATTTAATTACTACAATCTGCATAAAACCCCTCTCTGATTATAATTTTGTTTGTATCTTTTTTCTTTTTTTTAAAAAACAGTAACATGATGTACTCCTTATTAAGCTATACATCACATATCATGTTGTTTATTTCTGTTATCTATATGTATATCTTGTAATGAACTTGAAACTAATATTAACTATGAGAAACATTTTTTGTTGTTAAAAAATTTACTTACCTATATTGAAAATGACGCCTAGACTTATGTTGTCCAAAATCTGTGTCTATCAAAAGATGTTTTAATTTACACGAGAATCAAATGAAACGATAGACGAAAGCAACTATCACTAGTAGGTTCTATACACTTTCTAGTAGAAATAATGATTCAACAAAAGTGCTCGCGAGCGAAACCAGTAGATCCTGAGTTCGAATATCTCAGGGGGCAAGGTCGTGGATGCGCACTGCTGAGGAGTCCCACAATAGAACGAAGTGACCGTTCAGTGCTTCCAGGTTTTTCATGGTGGTCTAACTTCAACTGACTCATGATCTTAACCATTGAGATTCAAAAAAAGTTTACATGTATACATTTTCACTGTAAACAGTTTCAACCGTGTAATAATAATAATATGAATAATAATAATAATAATAATAATAATAATAATAATAATAAAAGCTGTTGTCTCACTTGAAGTATTTGGTTGAGATAATGAATTGATCAATGTTAGACCACCATCAGAAACTTGGAAGCACTGGACTGCCGTTTCGTCCGAGTATGGGAATCCTCATCCACGATCCCACACATGTGATTTCAACCTAAGACCTTCGGTATCGCGCGCGAACGCCTAACCTTCAGATCGCTGAATCGGCATCTAACGGTGTTAATATCTTACTTCAACCAAACCACGAAATTACTCAACCATCTTGCATTGTCTGAGGTAGATGTCTATCTCTACTTGACAAGGATTGTCTCCACTGATCACGTCTGAGAAATACCATACTAAGATGAAACGGCCATCCAGTGCTTTCAGGTTTTCGATGGCGAATTAACATCGTTCGATTCATGATCTCAATAAAAAAAAACTCAACAATCTCCACAACCCCATACTGATAATCATTTGAAGAATTAGTTGTCCAACTTGAGACAACATTTATTGATATGATACATAATCACTTTGGACAGTTTTGTTATTAAGTTTTCTTCGTTCAAAATTCTTTATTAACTTGTCTAATGAATCAATACTGTATTTTCCTTCTAGTTTTTTTTTTGTTTTACGTTTAAGGGTTTAATTAAATTCACTTATAATAACTAAGAATTTTAACAAAATCATAAATAGTGTAATGAATTCAGTTTAAACATTAGTACTCATTACTTGATAATGATTATTCTATAGAGAAGCCAATCAGGAAACAAGAAGTATTTGAACAGCTTCTTTATTTTTTTTTTTTGTTGTTGTCGTCTATATTTAAAACTTTTCCATAGTGATCACTTACGATCCTATTGATAATCAAAACCTAGGAACCTTTAGATATTTCATAAGAAAAGAAAAGACCCTCCCTCCCCCCCTCAATATATTTATTTTACGTAATTAGAATTGAATGTACAATAGTTTTGACGAATCAGTCAAGTTTATTGAATTAATTACAAATTTAAGTTGACTGAAAATCAGTTCATTTAATTGTTATATCCTAGTTTCATCTATAAGGTATCAATAATCAATCGAAATTCTCTGGTTTATTAACCTTAAAGCACTAATGTCACTAATTTCAATCTTATACTAAAGCAAACTAATTATCATTTATATCTCTTAGTTTTTTTTTCTCTTATTTCCAAACCTTACAATCTATTTACTTTATGCTTACATTATTAAAGGTTATCATACGTTTGACAATCCAATTGATTCACCTAAACTCTTAAATACATTACACACTAATCGCTTATTAGAAGGATATGGGCAAATATCTTCATCTTCATCATCATCACCACCACCACCACTATCATCAATATCAACATCATTATCACTACCTAATGGATCTATTCAGCATGATTCTTCTCCTTCAACGTCGTCGAATTTCTATGCTGTTGCAGCTTGTGCAGCAGCAGCGGCAGTTGTAGCTGCAGCAGTAGCATCTTGGAGTGGTACAAGTTCACCAAAAACATCCAATAAATCTCAACAATATTTCACATCCTCTAATAGTCATCAAAGTTCACCATGTCCTTCTATTAGTAATAATAATAATAATAATAATAGTACATTATTTCCATTAAGTCCATCTGGATCAATTAATAAATCATCTCTTTTCAATCATTTACAATCGGTGAAATCACCGAGTAGTATTGGTGGTATGGTACCATCACCGAAAGCAAATAGTAACAATCTGACTACTTCATCATTATCTCCAGCCACATTATATCATAGATGTGAAAATAATAATAATAATCATAACAATAATACGAATAATAATAACAACTACAGTAGTAGTCGAGCATCTACTTCAACTAATTCTACCGCCGCTAGTCCTTATTCTCCTAGGTAAGTTGTGTTCATAATGAATTTGAAAAAAGCGAAACAAATCAAAGCGAAGTTTTAGTCTACTTTTGGTACTAAAATGAGACTTTTTCTTCATGTTTAATGTTTATGCTGTCTTAACTATTAGTTATATATTGTTAGTAATAACATTATATATAACTGGTGTTTGTTGTATGAAATGAATATCTGACTGTATTACAAAAAAAAACACAATAAAAGCTATAAATTATTGATTGATATTGACTTTGTTTGCAATCGGTAGTTGAAGCTTAATCAGTCAGATACTGTTAAGGGCATGAGTGTGGTTATCATTTTTCGGTTACCGCCAAAGTGAGAAGAAACTATTCTTCTTGAGGATTTTGGAAAGGAAATTGATAATCTCGATAATCTAGGACTGTTACTATAGATCCAAAGGGAAAACCTATTTGAGATAGGTTACACATACTCCCTTTTTTTTGTGATAAGGTCATCTTCCTCGTACAATCAATACCTCATGTAATAGGATACAATTTAGCTGATAATGTACTATTTTTATTCCACTAAGAATAATTTTTTATATAAGCGATACACTTGTTTTGATAATTCTCTTATAAAGAAACATTAAAAATGAATAAATTGGGTTCAACTATTATTCTATTATTATTACTATTACAGATTATGTAAAAGTCATTGATTGTAGTATTTATACCCATTTTTCATTCATTCATTGATTTATTTATTTATTAACTTAGTATGTTTGCTGCTGCTGCAGCCGCTGCACACATGCAGTTATTATCCGCAGCAGCAGCCGCTGCTACGTTCAATTCAAATTTGTCATCATCATCGTCATCGTCTTCAGTACATACAGCTCCATCAACACCATGTATAACAACTTCATTAAATAATGAGTTTACATTTGAAGATTCTATCAGAGAAATGAAATCAGTATCAACATCATCATCATCGTCAGTTATTTCTTTATCAGATTTATCACCAACTGTACAATTCGGTTCTTTGTCGACATCTTCGTTATCATCAATTCAAAATAGAGATAATAACAGTAATAATACTAGTAATGATAATAATAATAATAATTCAGCATCAAACAGTCTTTGGAGACGTCAGCAAACTGCAGCAGCAGTAGTAGCCGCTGTAGCTGCGAGTGCTATGATTGGTAATTCAACATCTTCAGAATTATCATCTGTTTCTGCTGTTGCCAGAGGTGATAATGATAGTATTAGTGGTCGTAGTGGAGTAGGAAGAAGAAGAAGAAACACTAATATACATAATCCATTAGATCGAATTAATTCTCCTGGACTATGGTCTAGTCGAAATCATCTGTTTAGTTCAAGGTAAGAGATTCTTATATTATTGCGTTTATATTCTTCTACACTTTGATGATAATTATGTTTGTTTAAATTAAAACAGAGTTACATTTACTTATGTCCACTACACCCTCCCCCCCCACCTCGCACAGATATCCTCTTGCTTCATATAAGTTAAATTAGGGAATTCGTCAACATTTCACTGTAGAAAAAGGGTTAATATTATGTAAGATTTCGATCAAAAGTACTTTTTATATTGAATTTATTTGGTGAAAAAGCTATCAACAGTTCAAAGGATAATAACATGGTACGGTAGTTCATTATATATTGATTTACTGTTATAAAATATTGTTTAATAAAGCACTTCTCATATGTAATGGAGCTATCAAGTGTTTAGTGATGAAGTTTAACTTGGACTTTTGATTAAATTTGAGAAATCAAGAACAATAGACTTTTATCTAATAAGATGGTTTTAATGTGAGAAACTTGGACAAACTGAGTTTTTTTTAACTGTTTAGAAACATTTGTATTTCTTTATAGCTAATATTTAGAACTGAATTTCGATCAATCACTGTGGATAATATGTTGAATTTTGGAACAACTCTCACTGATCTTGAGTCTTAACAAGAACATGGACACATTTAATTTCAAGCACATTCATCTGACAATTCCAAACTAGGGTGAAACACACATCCTGCCAATTACCATCTAAAGATATACATAGTTAAGATTATGAGTCAATTGAGGCCAGACCACTATGGAAAACCTGAAAGCACTGGAAAGCCATTTCGTCCTATTGTGGGACTCCTCACCAATGCTCATCCACAATCCCGCCTCACGAGATTCGAACGCAGGACCTATCAATCTTGCGCGCGAGCGCTTAACCTATAGACCAACGGTGTTAATGTCTAACTTCAACTAATCCACAAAATTGAGCGACACATCCACCATTGTCATCAATGAGCTACTATCTCACAACTGACCCGGTTGAACTCCACTGTTCACTCCTTCTCACTAGAACTGCAGGAAATACCTTTTGAAACCAGTCAATAATAAGTACATGTTGATTGATATCAGAAGGGTTCGAATCTCGAGAGGCACACCGCTGAGGAGTCCTACAATAAGATGAAATAACCTTCCAGTGCTTTCAGGTTTTTCATGGTGGTCTAGCTTCAATTGATTCATGATCTCAATGATTGAAATTACCATAATATCCACAAAAAACCCCCTTTCTATTTATATTTATCTATATTCTTGAATGATTCCTAGATCATACTACTTTCTTTTTATTCAGTAATATGACATTGTTAAATATGTTTATTTACTTGATTCAAAAGTCAATTCATCTAAAAAGACTACATGATGATCATATCTCTTATTGAGAAATCATTCTAATTTAAAATTTCTAATTTCAATTTACTGTATCATTTTGATTTTCTTCAATTATTCTCCTTTTCTTTTCTTCTCTTGATTGTGTTCAGTTTGAAATTCATGTGTGTACAACAGAGAGACAGAAAGACAGAGAGAGAGTGAGAGAGGGAAAAAGAGAGGAAAAGAGTGAATGTTTTTCTTTTTGAGTCGGGAAAAATCTTATATATCTATCTATCTATCTATCTATATTGGCGTATGTGTGTATGTGTGTGTGTGTGTGTGCAGTTTACTGATGAATTAGTTAGCCTATAGATTTAAGTTTCTATATGACAAATTTCGAATAGATTATTTTAATAAATAGGATAAATAATAGTGACTATAAAATTGATGAATTAATAATCTAAATTAGACAAGTTGTCTTATTTTTTCTCCTATTTACCATAAATATTCGTTTCCGTTATTTATATCTATGTATGTACTTGTGTGTATGTGCGAGCGTGTGTGTGTGTGTGTGCGTATGTATCTGCATGTGTTTGTGTTTGTTGTAGTCGACTTTTTTTTTCATTCAATTAAGCATAGATTTTAAATGTATTCATTATTGTTTCGATGACTTCTTTCCTCTGATTTTTTTCTTCTTTGAAATATTTTCGTAGACTTTTTTTGTTTTTAATCTTTTCATTATTCCCCCCCCTTCTCTATTTATTACATGCATACACACACGAGTACAAAAACAAATAACGAGTACATTGTGGGAGCCATATAGTTTATTCTCTATCATATGTATATGTACATACATGAACTATATACTACTATCTACTACCATATAGACTAATCTATTTAATGAGGCTTGACATTAAAGACAGTCATCTTACAAAAGTTGTTCTGTTCCTACCGTCGCCGTTGTCGTTTTCTACCAATTTATTATTCTTTTTTTAACAATTAATTTATTTGTTTTATCCATCCATTTGTGTGTGTGTGGGGGGGGGCGCATGAGTGATATATTACCATAGATCACTGGTAAAAAGTGAATTAATAGATTATTGAGATGAGACAGGTGGCAAATTTATTATTTGATGGATAGCATTCAATTTAATGATTGAGAGATGGAAAAAGAAAGACAGGGTGGGGAAGTGTGTGTATATGGGAAGAAATTGGCGAAGAAGGGAAAGATCAGTTATCTATTGTTGTAATTGTAATTGTTTTGTTTTCAAAATGATAATGATTATGGAAAGTTTGAAGGCAACTTGGTTGATAGCCTGTCAATAAATAAAATCCCTTTCTTTTTCTAGAACTTGATTTATCAGCGTTAAAATAATAAATATAATTTATGTCTATTGTATCTCTGTGCGTATGTGTGTATGCGTATTGATTGAATACCATCTCTGTAGAGAGTGACTCGTGTTGATTGTTATTGTTTGGTTGATAACTATAAAAATTGCAATGAAACAGTTCTGACTTTATTTATCTCCTAACTATAAATGTCATTGGCAGAGATGTACACTTTAGACTGAGATATAGTATTAGTTACCTTATGATTACTATAATTGTCAGTACAGAGTGGTGGAGATTGTTGATCCCAAACCGATCTAAGTTAGGCAACGATTGAAAACCTGAAAGCATTGAACGGTCGTTTGAAAGCAACATTGAAAGTTTCGAGTTCGATTTTCAGTCGTACAGTCGTTCATGTGCACTGTTGAGACTTCCCGCAATACTAGAACGAAACGTTCTTCAACTGCTTTTAAGTTTTAAATGTCTGTCTAAAGTAGATCGGTTTGTGATCTTAATAGCACTATCATTTCAGTTTATAAATTATATCTGTCACCACATAGAAGTAAACTGATCCTCTGCTAAGGACATTTTTATGTAATCCACTCTGAACCACACTAATTATGTGCTCTTAATTGTGTGTTGGAGGGAGGCTAATGCTAACATAATACTTGGTTACTTAAAGTAGATTGATTGGATTTGAACCCGTAGTTTCTTACCCATAACCGGTTCACTTTATAAGTGAATGGATTTCCATAGATGTATGTGAATGTTTAGGTTATACTGCTATCGTTAGAATGTAATGTTTTTTTTCGTTTTAAAGGAGATACCTTCCTAAGACAATATGCCAAGACTTTTATTTATATCGTAGAGTTTCTGTATAATAACAATATTGCTGCCTGATCGTTTTACAAAGTATTTGATCTAATCCATATCGACAACTATTGTAAGATTTAGTTCACAAAACCGTATTTTGTTCGGAATTTTTGTATAAACAATTCATATAAGCTGTATATTTTAAATACGAGAAGATAACATTAGACAGTGATATGATAAAAACCAATATCAGTTATCTCAGTACTACAAGGGGGCATCAGATACATATGCACCACACAAATCTCATTAGATTAATATGAGGCTTTTGATACTGCCCGGGTGCCCAAATCGAAGCAGTCAATTGCTCAACGATAGTCGATAACGATTTGATCAATCAATATTCTTTATTAAAATGCTTATACTGGATACTTACATATTGATTTTTTTATTGAAATCTCTACAGATCACATTGATTGTAAGACAAAATTTGCTTGAGTATTTCATATAGCCACCGTTAAAAAATTGATCTCTGTATCAGAATAAACATTTTCAATCATTGTCACTTTTATGCTCGAAAATATTCTATCTTTAATTTTAGTCAAATCTAATTCTCGGGTAATCTTAATAATTTTAGTTTGAAACACTAAAATCAACCTAACTTATTACAACATCATAATACACTTAGTATTGAAGAAATGAAATGGTAAGTTCACTCCCCTGATATATTTTAGTTACGGAAAGGTTGCGAATCCATTGAAATTCGAAATATAGACTGTTTTCTGTTAGTTTAATGAGTGCAAACTAACATGTTCTCTGTAAAGCCTGGTGGTCCTGGGTTCAACCTTTGAGGAAGGGGTCATCGGTTGTCCTATTGTGTAGTTGTATGATTATCTAACTAAAGTTTGTCCTTGATATAAACCATTTTAGTATAACAATTGTTTGTTTATTTTAAATCATACAGTATTCCATTTATATTCATTTATATATTAAATATCATCTTAAGGAGCCCTTTTGAGAGATGCTCTTGCCTACAAACTAGAACTATTCCAAAATTTTGTAAATCCAAAAATGAACTGTTTAAGACATTTACTACTTTAATAACTTATAAATAGTTTAATAATTAAAATTAAATTTACCAAGCATGATTGTTCATTTTAAGATGTGGTTGTTATAGTAGTCTTTCTTCTTTTTTTTTTCTCTCTCTCTCCCGAATGTTTTACTGTTAATTTAGATCTCGTGATCGTCGAAGTTTTGATTTTGTAAAAGCTTTGACAAAATCAGGAATTACTAACATTTATAATAATAATCATCATCATCACCATTATATTAATCGTAAAGCAATCCCATCAGATAATAGTAATAATAATAATAGTAATGATGATGTAATAATTAATGAAGAATCATCTTTAGATCATTGTAAAGAAAATTTAAAGAGAAAAATGGCTACCAATCTTATGTCATCATCAACAGCAACAGCAACAGCAACAACAACAACAACAACATCTTCATGTTTATCTAAAGGTATACATATTAAAAAACCATTAAATGCATTTATGCTATTTATGAAAGAGATGCGTTCACGTGTACAAGAAGAATGTACTTTAAAAGAATCTGCTGCAATTAATCAAGTATTAGGTAAAAAATGGCATGAATTAACTAGAGAAGAACAAACAAAATATTATGAAATGGCTAGACATGAAAAAGAATTACATCAACAATTATATCCAAATTGGTCAGCACGTGATAATTATGCATATCATGCTAGACGTCGTAAACGTCGACGACAATTATTTCATAAACATGGTTTACATATTCGTGGAACACGTCATTTGAATAAATCAATAATGAATATACGTTCATATGAAAAATCATTATCATCATCATCCTCATCATCATTATTATTATTGAATGATTCAACTATTATAATGGATAAATCTAAAGGAAACACTTCATTGGATAAATGGAATGGATATAAATCATTTCCATTAAATATTAGTAATAATCAACAAAAACGTAATTCATGTATTTCTGATCATTCTTTAAGTAATAAAACTCATTCAAATGATTCATTATCTTCAATGATAATAAATAATTCAAAAATACAAACGGATCATTTATCAGATGATATTATTAATCATCATCAATGTCATCATCATCATAGTAGTAGTAGTAGTGGTAGTAAATGCTCTTCTCCATATCCTCCTTCATCTATACTTCCTATTACTACAATGTCAGAATTCTCATCTAATCATCAACAAAGCCCTTTGACATCAAATTCACCATTGTGTAGAAAACAAAATCAATCGTTTACTATAACAACACCATCCATCTCATCACCATCATCATCATCATCGTTGGCGTCCACCACCACCAACACCACCACCACCACCACCACCACCACCACCTCATCATCATCATCATCATCATCATCATCATATTCTTTGTCATCATCATCATTAACATTATCTAAACAAATTACTCCTAATCTTACTAAACTAGATCCCATTACAACTTTAAAAGATGAAGATAGTTGTAATTTCTTAGGTGAAGTAAGACAGCATGTAAAATCAATGAATGTAAATTCTATCGATTATAAAACATTTATGAATAGTATTGATGATGAAAATAATAATCATAATCATAATAATAATATTGTTAAGAATAATCGATATATTGCTGAATATTCTGTAAAAAATAATTTCAATGAAACCAAGGTAACAATAAATAATATTGATCATCACCATCATCACCATCAACATCATCATCATCGTTCTAATATTGATATAGGTTATCGTTTATTTCCTCATATCCCTACTGTTAATAATATTAATAGTAATGATAATAATGAATTAGATCAATTTCGTACTATACGTGATTTCAATAGAAAATCTAAACTTAATTTAAATACAAATATGAATACATGTTTAACGGTTAGTATTGTAACTACATGTAATATCAATAGTACATCTACTATTTCATCAACTACATTCTATAATCGAAATCGTGAATTAAATAGATTATACAATGAATCTATGAACTTAATCCCAAATGAATATGGTTATCATACTACTACTACTACTACTAATAATAATAATAATAATAATCATGATGTATCAAATTTATTTCATCATTCCACAGGTTATCCATTTTTACATTCTGATATAAATGTTAAACGTGATACATCATCTTCATTCTATACGTCTTCTCTATCATCTGTATTGAATGATAACAAATCAATACATTCTAAAGATCATTCATTTTTATCCCCTAGATTTACTGGGATGATTAATTTATCATCATCGCTATCATCATCATCATCATTAGTAGACAATGAAAATAGACATCCATCACATCCATCAATAACACCGACTGGTTATCAGTCCAGTTATAGATATTCTTCTCATTTAGATCATTTACCTTATTCATCAATGTCTTCTAATCACTTTCCAAATTTTCCTGGTTCATTACCTTCACATTTGATGTCTACTTTCGGTCTTAATGGTGGTGGTGGTGGTAATAAGCATCATAATACGTCAAGATGTATGACTGATCTATTACCATCATCATCGACATCAGATAGTCATGTCAAAACAATGACAAAAAATAATCATTCATCTCATTCAACCGTATCAACTACTGTGGCGGCTGTAGCTGCCGCTGCAGCAGCGGTAGCTATGACTGCAAGTGAACTGTCTGGTGGGAATTTGAAAAAATGTCGTGCTAGATTTGGTTTGGAACATCAGAATATGTGGTGTAAACCGTGTCGGTAGGTTTTTTGTTCTATATCCAGTTCCGTTTTTATTCTGTTCGTAAAGCTCAACCTATACATTCGGTAACCAAATAATTTTCAATACCACATATATTTATATGGAATGGATAAAATGTGGCTAGCAGTTGAATTTAATACGCACGTTTCGTCCTATTTGGGACTACTCAGCTGGATGTACCTGCAATTAAGGTAGATCAAAGTTCAGTCTCAAAATATTAACAACAGTATAATCCAAACTATTGCAAATTAAATTAAAACTTATACTTGTTGCGCAAATAAGAAACTATCTGAACTCAATAGTTAAGTGGATAATGCGCTAGCGTCTGAAACAAACGGTACTGGTTCCGAGTCTCACTGGTGAACATCAACACAGATCTAGGTACATCCAGTTTGCGAGTCTAAAATTGATCAAGACACACATTGTCTATTCCATTGCTAGCTATATTCCACTGTGTTGTTTTTGCTTTTTACATAAATCTGCATCATAAATGCTATATTGAGACAATCCGCACAGAATGTACATATGCCAACTAAGACTGATCAAATTCCAGTCAGAATATATATCAACAACAGGATAATCTAAACCATTACAAAACGGGAAATATTTGTTTGGTTTAGTATGGATTTCAAAAATGTCAATTTTCACAAAACCCTAATATAACTACTTGATCAACTATAGATTAATGTTTATCCTACTAAATCAAATGTAGTATTCCAGAGTGCGAACCCATGATTCAAGAAATTCACTTTAGAACAGTATGCTATTGAAAATTTACCCAGTAGTACATCGTTATATACTTTACAATTGTTTAGTTTTACAATTTACAATTCTTAATAAGTTCTGATTTAATACATTATCTATAATTTACTCCTTAGTATGCTACTAATGAAGTACTACAAACACTATAGTAAAACAGTTGGAATTATCTAACCCAATAGAAACTTTATTGTGTAACGCAATAATTTAATTCATAGTATGAAGCAACGAGTTAATATAAATCTTAACTATATATGGAAGGTATTATTTATAAGTAGTATATCAGTAGTAGTGAAGAATAATAATTAGAAAAAAAAAGAGAAATACAATGTGGGAATGATTATATGTCGGTCTGAAATGATAGAGCATTAAGATTTGAATAAATTAAACTGATCATAAAAGTTATTACATGTACCGTAAGATGGCTAGCAATAGTTCATACAAAAAGTATGTAGAATACGTTTAACGTATTAACTTAATAATATTTTTTTTTAAAGAACTGTTGATGAACCCAAAACTTGGTATGTTTGTTTTAGTTTGGTACGGCCGAGAGTGGGGAAAGTCAGCTATCCCTCTCGAAATGTTCTCAAGTGACCACGTACATACAATCACTGCTAGGGAAGTCTTACTTATTGACTTCTCGTGACAGGGGTGTTGTTTACGAAATTGAAAAGACCAAAACCAAATTTCCGGCACTTTAACCGGGTTGGTGGTTACGGAGAGTTCACTTAGGGGAGTTGGAAAACCTCAATTCCAAACGAATGATGCACATAGAATCCAGGATCCTGAAGGAACAAATAGCGTATGAACCAATTGTTGGTCACCGACTACCATGGGACTGCATCTCCTTACATTGCTCCCCTGTTTTGTGGATTAGAACTTTAGGTCGAAGGCTCCAAGTGTGACCCCCTAAGTGAACCACCTGTTTCGGTTAGGGTACCTAGGCAGTATCCCAGCCCTTACATAAATTGAATGATTTATGTGGAGCATATGTATTTGGTACCTTCTTGTACCAACATTTATTTGTTTATGCACCAATGATTAGTACTAAATGATTGTAATATTTAACTTTCAAACTCCCAGTTATTGATTGGAATCTTGCTTTAGGTACTTCAGCTTAATCATTCGAGTTGTATTCACTAAGTGTATATCATTCATTTAATTAGAATTATGTGTATTGTATTCAGCATTTTACTATTTATTTATTTATTTATTTTTAGTCGTAAAAAAAAGTGTATACGTTTTATTTCGGAAGCGGATCCAGAAGAATTTTCTAATGGAACAACAACATCACAACAACCCCAAACAGGAACTCATCATTCATCAACTCATCATATTGCTAGACAAAGATTAGCTAATTTTATAGATCCATTTATACGTCCTGCTCATTCATCTCAATCAAATATTTCTGGTCAATCATCAAAATTTCATACATTTCCTTCAAGTTTCCTATGTCCATCAATAAATGTTAATAATAATGTAACAAATGAACATACATTAACATCATCGTCATCATCATCATCATTAGCTGATTTTAGTTTACGCTTAAACCAATCACATCATACAATTCCAGGCTGTTATACCGGTAAATCTTCAGCATTTATAAGTCCTTCACTTTCATCTCGTTCAAATCATCCAATGTTAGATTTATCAACATCACCGTTTCCATTAAAAAATTCATATCATCATTTGAATAATTCAACAAGTGAAGAATTAAATGTTAAGCTAACATCTTCATCATCATCATCATCACGAACACCATCATCGTCATCATCATCATCAGTGTTGTTTTCACCATCTCGATTAAATTCACATACGATTGGTCAATGTTTATCAAATTGTAATGAATCTAGACTACCGACTACCGCTAATAACAATACTGAATTTTCTTTTAATAAACCGAATTCAATTGACTTGTGGAATAATACTACTACTACTACTAATAATAATGGTATGAATACATTTTATCCTAATTGGTCTCAAGATTCATCAGCTTTCAAATTATCCACAACATCATCATGTGTTAATGTTTCAACAATCAGTATGACAATATCATCATCAATATGTTCCCAATTGAATACACACAATTTAATTGATTCTACTAGTCGATCAAATAATCATAATCATTTACGTGAATCAAATCAATCTGACAATATCAATACTAGCACTACTAATACTACCACTACTACTACTACTACTACTACTACTACTACTACTACTACTACCATCACAGGTGATAGAAATCATTTTAATTCAAACCAATCTAAATTGTCATCCAACGAAGTTAATCAGTTCGTTAATCAATCATTGTCATCACTAACAGACAATTCAGTTTCTTCAAAAATAAACCTGATCAACTCACAAAATGATTCAAATTGTTCAATGCCTTATTCTAATGTAGCGTCATTTGCCCTCTGCTCTTCTCATACCCCTTCAAATCTAGAAATATCCAATACAACGCCAATTAATATGAATTCGTTTATTGGTACTCATTCATTGGAATGTCCTTCCTCTTCTTCTTCGTCGTCGTCGTCATTGTCCAACACGTTACCATCTACAGTATTATCATTATCGTCACCAATAAAAACTATATCCGATGAATATTCAGAAACAAATCTCAATGAACCACCGCCATCTAAACGAATTTGTTGTAATTCACCAGTATCTTTATTAAAGTCATCTAATGTTGAATCTGTAGTTTGTTGTGTGTCAAGTCCACTTGTTTCTATGAATAATGATGTAACCAATTTCAATAATGTAAATAATTTAGACAGTTCTGTATTGAAAGATCATTCAGCTGTATCCGATTCTACTACTACGAATACAACAACAACAACAACAACAACAACAACAACTACTACTACTACTACTACAACTGCCGTTACCACTGTTAAAACGACCACAACAACAAGTTGTAAATATACAGAATCAGTTCGATTCGGTGTAGCTGATTTTATGGGACTAAATGACGATGATAATAATCATAATCATAATAATGATAATGTTGATATTATTTCAGTTGTGGATAATATCAATCATGATTGATTTTAGTTATCCTTCACCTTGTATAATTATGTATTAATAAATAAGCTTATGCTATGAACAACAAAAAACAAACAAACAAACAGTTCGATCAACAACACCAACAACAGCACACACACATACACACAAATAAACAAATTCCACATTGATTATGATTATTATGGTCGTGTTGATTCTGTTGTTAAACTTGTATTTTCTTTTGCATAATTGTTTGTTCTATCACTTCTTTTCACTATATACTGTTTTCCTATCCTTTAATTTATATGTATGTATGTATGTATGCGTGTGTGTGTGTGTGTGTGTGTATAAGTTTCGTATGTACTAATTAATGATGATCTCTTCGAGATGAATTGTTTTATTGTATTTCAATGCCTATCATTTAACACCATCATCATCATCATCATCACCACCACCACCACTGTTGTTGTTGTTGTTGTTATACTTTATCTTCACTGTCATCTTGATCTAGGACGTACACAATATATTATATAGATTACTATACAGAAAAGTATTCATTTATTCCATTATTATTTTTCATTTTTATCATGATTCATGTATAAATTTCTTTTTGATATTCTATGATATTTGTTTACTTTACTTCCAGTATAGAGTTTAGAAGAAGAAATGCAAATATTCATTCATTCATTCATTGATTCATTTGTTGATATTCAGCTTATCTTCTTCTTCTTCTTCTTCGTCTTCGTGTTTGTTCCCCTTCCTTTATATTGAACAACTTATCATTTTACATTATTGTATGTTGTTCAATGAAAAAAGACCCAACTAACTAACCAATCAACCAACTAATCAATCAATCAATCAATCAAAGATTCACCAAACAGTTTGATGCACAAAATAATAAACTAATGGATTAATAAAACACAAAGTGAACTTTTTACAATCTATGGCAGCTGTATTCTCATATTCTTATGGTTATTTTCATTGTTTTGCTCGTTTTTTTTTTTAAAAAAAGGAAAGAAACATGAGAACAGTTGAAAAATGTTTTTAAATTGATTATTTTGTGTGTGTATGTATGCGTACGTATGCGTTGATGAGGGACATGGGCACTTTGTTACTATCCAGTTTCTATTTAAGACAAATGAATGTTTGTGTAAGTGTTATTCTCTTTTATTATCTTTCCCTCGTGAGCATACACACACACATACACACACACACTGTCTCTCTTTTTATGTATGTATGTGTATGTATAGGTGTATTGTATTTGAATAAACCAAATATTGTATAAATTGTATCATAATAGTAATAATTATTAATACCTATACATATTACTTACTTGTAACAATTAGTAGTAGCCATTTGTTTACAACAACAACAACAAGAACAACAAAAAAGAGAAAAAAAACACTTATCTCTTTTCACCTGTCTTGATTTCTTTTTCGTCTTTTCTACATCAAAGTTTTCATATTATTATTATTATTATTATTATTATTATTATTATTATTATTATTATTACTCTTTGTGTACCTGTTTGTCTATGTAGGTACATATGGATTGTATTTTTTGTCATCATAACTTTTTTTTTTATTTAAAAAAAATAGATTTTCCTCATCATCGTTATCATTATCACTATCGTTACAACTTTTTATTTCTTCTCTTGAATTCTTTATATTTATTGAATTTATCTATGAAATACTCTGATGTATTTGTTATGATGGATGTATGAATTAGTTAGTTAGAAATCCTTACGACGATGATGATGATGATGATGATGACGACGACGACCATCAACACCACCACCACCATCATCATCATGAACTTTCCTTGAATAATGTTTACATAATTAATCAGCTGATCAACTTGTTCAATCATGTTTTAATTTACTTGAAAAGAGTAATTTCAAACAGAAGAACAATGCAATAAAGAAGTTTTGTTATGATTATAATAATAATAATAATTCCATTTAAATCACCATAACGAATGCATATTACTAGTATCAAGACTACTAGTAATAGTATTGATATGACTGAAATAGTTATGTTGATTTCATTACATATCCATCAAACTTACACACACACACACACACATCGCCATCATCATCACGTTAATTTGACTCTATTTTTGGTTCTTTGTTTTTCTCATTTCTCTCATTATTCACGATAATGATGATGACGGTGATGATCTTTTCAACTGTTCTATCATTTCTTCACAACAAATAATCAAGCTCATCTTGATGACACAAAAGACCAGATGATGAAGATACATATATATATGAATTATCTGATGCATTTGTCGTTTTCTTATCGTTATTGTTTTGTATTCATACTTGTCTTTTTTTCCAAGAAAAAAACATAGTTCACAACTACTTCTTTGGTTTTCTTTACATCTCTATTCCTTGAAGAGGTATTAATATTCAGAGTATACACGCACTAACTCACTCACACACACACACGCATACACATTATCTGTTTATTACATTCATTTGTATACATACACTCACAACATTCGATATGTGTTATAGTTCACGAGATTAGAATGAAATCATTTGAGAAAAGGTGGACCAATGTGCGTTTTATTCATTGTTGATCTTATTTTTATTCTTCTAAGACAATAACTACAATTGATACTACTAATACTACTCTCACTACTGATAAGTAATCTTTTAGTAAGCAGCAACAGCGACTTTGATCATTATATATATATATATATATACCCCCCGGAAAACAGGGTCACGTGTTTTACGTACAGTGCATATACTTCAATAATTCTTACTGTTTTTTCCTTCGAATTATACTTTTTTTTACTTTTCTTCTTGATGTTTATCTCTTCCTGTGTTTTTGCCCCAGTCTTTGTTAAGTATGTATGTATAATGGAGGTTCCAGATATATATATATATATTGGTAATAATAATGATAATTATAAACCGTCTTTTTGACATTATTCTCTGTGATTCTTGGGTAAGGGGTAATTTCATGCCATTTCCTGTTAAACACCTGTAATGATTTACTATATCAAAATCATCTGAGGTTTCCTTTCAATTGATTATCATTTAAGTAGTACACTTTTTTTTGGTAGAAGTAATATCAGGTTTGAATAGATTGATGTTGAATATTTTTTGTTCAACTTTTCTAAGTGTTATATCTAGAATGGTTGATTTACTTGATATAACGCGTACAACTGAACACACGAACGCCCAAACCCTTCCAAGTCGCAAAGAGAAGACAGAAGACTAGTGAAAGGAATGTTATTCCAAACAGTGTCAATTATGGGTACAAATTGTCAGGTATTTATAGTTTTAGTAAGAACAAAAATCATCATTATAGTCCTCCAATCCGCATACAAGGGGTTATTAGCCTTGTCCAATCGGGAAGCTACACGTAGGGGTTCTAGAATATTCTTGCTAACGGTGATTGGATGGAATATCTTCGGCTCCTTCTGAGCCTCTTATAGCTTCCTCGAGTTTACCCGTGGCCCGTCGTCACACCTCCCTCCTTTAAAGTCCGTTGTGTAAGACTTCTTTCTCGGATCCACCTGGAACTTTGTGGTCGCATTCCTCTTACGGTCCATCACTCTCGGGGGTTGTACAACTTTTCCCTTGCGTCGTTTGCCTCCTCTATGTTTGCGCTCATGATGGCTTTTCTGAGGTGAATCCACGAGCAATTGAAATGGGAGCCGGCTTCCTGGGACCATTGTACTGCTGTCTCTTTGCATTTGATTTATGTGTCTTATGCATTTTCCGACACCCTTCCGGACTAGGTACAGTACATTTCCGATTCGACGTTCTATGACACCTGGTTCCCATCTCCTATTACCTTGATAGGCTTTGACAAGTACTCTTTCACCCACCTGGAAGCTACGAGTGATCGTACGATACTCATTCATCGGTTTTATTGTCTTTCTAGGTGGCAACATACTGTTGAAGACTGTCCGAATTTTTCTCACGAACATACACTCAGCTGGTGACTTTCCTTCTGGTACTGCCGGATTGGGGGTAACTCTGTGAGACATTAGGAACTTACTGATCACTTGTTCTGGGATACCCTCACCTCTCCCCTTTACCAGAGCTCTTTTTATCGTATCCACGAATCTTTCTGCTTGGCCATTCGACTGAGGATGGTACGGAGGAGATTGTAGATGCGATATGCCATTTTCACTGCAAAAGCGTTTGAAAGCTGATGACATGAACTGAGTGCCGTTATCGGTCACTAAAATCTCTGGAACCCCAAAACAAGCAAACAATCCTGACAATCTTCTTATTGTACTGTCTGATGTCGTTTTCGGCATATCATATACTTCTGGCCATTTTGTAAAAGCGTCGACAACAACTAAGTAATTTCTGCCTTGTATTGGTCCGGCGAAATCGGCGTGTATTCTTTGCCAAAGCCCGTCCGGTTTTGGCCATGGTTGTGGTTCAGCTTTTGTTGGATTCTTCGCAGCCTCTAGACAGGACCAACAACTGCGACATTTTTGTTCTATATCACGGTCCATTGTCGGCCAGTATGCATAGCTGCGAGCTAGTGATTTCATTTTACTTATCCCCGGGTGCCCGCAGTGAAATTGCTTAATGACTTGGTGCCGAAGGCTTCTAGGGATAACGATACGGTGGCCAAACATGATGCACGAGTCGACAACTGTTAGGGAATCTCGTCGACGAAAATATTGTAAGAGTTCGCCACGTAGTCTAGATGAAGGCCACTTGTTGAGTATGCAGCGGTGAACAATCTTCAATGTATTATCCTTCTTGCTAGCTTCTTTAATGGCTTCGAATGTTACCGGGAGTCCGGAAACTGCGTCTGTCAATACTTTGTGAACTTCAGCCTCAACTTCTATGGCAGCTACAAGCACGTCCTCGTCTTGTTTTGCATGCGAATCAATCAACCTTGAGAGGGCATCTGCCTGTCCGAAGTCGGTTGTTGGTTGGTACTTTATCTTGAAATCATAACCCAGTAGTGTAGTTGCCCATCTCTGTAAACGGTTTGCTGTATATACCGGGATACCTTTTTTAGATCCGAATACTGTCAGTAGCGGTTTATGGTCTGTTAGTAAGG